TTTCACAGGCTGAGCTTCAGCATCAACGAGCATGGCCTGGCGTGAGCAGGAGGAAGGGGCCATTGTTTTCCCAGATAATTCCCCATGACGCAGCCTGCAGCTGGTGCTGTAGGAAATGCTGATCTGCTTCCTGCCCTGGCACAGGGATGTTTCCCCGACCATGGCTGGTGGCTCCTTGCCGGGAGGGCTGGGATAGCAAGGGAAGACCCTTGGCACCCAGCTGGAAGGGCCATGGTGCAGCACCTGCGGCGCACGGCAGTGTCCCTGTCTGCCCCCGAAGAGTCCTACAAACCTTGTTTGTCCTTGGAATTGGGAAATAGCATTTTCTCTGGTATGGGAGGATTTGCAGTGGTGCCTGAAGGACTGGGGAGCACATAAGATTGTGCTCCAAAAGCCACTTGGAGCTTGTTTGTATAGAGCAGGTAGTTTCAGGGAGGGAGGTGGCTGCTGGAGGAATGGCTTTATTTTGAAAGCAAAGCAAGATGAGATCTCTCTGAGTTCAGAAGCAGTACCCTGACAGAGAAGTTTGTGCAGCTGCTAATCCATTTTAGCTTGGGCTAGACACTCTTGACAGCCCCTCTGGAGACATACCTCTCTGCAAAGGAAGGAGGGGAGTGAGGCTGGTATCTGTGCAGACAAAGCAATTTAACTATCACAGTATCAGTTTATAGCGCTAAAAATGTTGCTCTTGAATATCCTACCTGCAGGCTTGGGAGCTTCCATACCCTGACTTCAGACTGACATAACTGCTGCCAGTACCCCTGCTCGCTGCTGACTGCAGCCCAGTGCAGACAGGGCTGGCGTCAGGGGGCTGAGGCAGCACCACGGTTTGCAGGAAGGGTGAGGCAAGCGCTTACGGATTTGCCTGCAGATGCCAACTGAAGATGTCTCTGAAAAGATCTAATATTAGTCACACTCCTCTGTACTACTGACAAAGAAAGAGCGGGTCATGCTCTGACTGGATAGGAGCATGTCCTTGTGGCTAACTGCCAGTTCTTCCTTTGCAAACAGACCATTGCTTATTGCTCTTGCAGTCTGTGCCCCAGCCAGGGATGCTGTTTAGTGTCGCTTGTCCCCTTTTCTTTGCGTTGGTCCTGGGAACACCACAGCCTTAGAGATGCTGCAAACCCCAGGCATCTCAACTGCATAAACCAGGCACTGCCCCCACACATGTACACAGTATAGCAGTGTTTCTATACTAACATTTTTCACTTGCCTGTTAGTTGACAGGTTTTTGGGAGTTGCATTTCTGATTTTTTTTCCAGTATTAAGTCAGAGACTCTCACATAAACACACGATTCCAGGAGCTGGGGCTTTAACAAAACTGCTGCACAGCACAGGGCCTGGATTGGCAGTTCTGGTAAACCCTTGGATAAATACCTTTGACAGTGAGAACACGTTATCTTTTTGATCTTGGGATGATGAAAGCACTTGTTCTTTCCAAATTCCTTCCACAACTTGAGGAGAAAGAGCAGCATGGCATGACAGGAAGTGCTGGAGAACTTGGATTATCCAAATGCCCTTTATAATGTTACTGCTTTTATAATACTTGTCTATAGACTCTCAGTTTATACACCTTCTACGCTGTTCTACAGATGGGATTTTTCTAATCTAATATTCAGACACCACCTTCTGCATAAACAGCTCTCTTTAACCTGTTATAAACTCCCTTTTAGTCAGTGGACTTTATCCACTGCAGATGTCCTGACACTTTTGAAAGCTTCATTTATGGTCTTGGATGTTATTATGCAGCAGAAAACCTACTTGGTGGTCAAAAGTAGGCCAAAATCTCCTGTGTGGATTCTGTGCCTGAGTGTGTGTTGCATTTCTTCTTGGAGTCAAAGCACTAATGTGATTTCAGTCTCCTCCATCTGTCTGTCTGTTTTCTCAACACTTGTAGGAACTTAAAACAGCCTTGATGCCCCCATCACTGTCAAACCGATTTGGGCTTAGCTTACGATTCAAAGGTCTTTGGTGGGGGTAGGAATGTGTCCACATGCATGTGGAGTATGTAATTGAGAGGTCTTACTTCCTTAGGAAACCAAAATTAAAAAAAAACAACTCTAAATTACTTCCTTTTCTCTAATACTTGGTTAATACTTAAATGCTTCCGCAATACAGGTTGTGATATGCTTTCAACTTTAAGCCTATTTGACCTAAGAGTATAACCCGTTTAGCCTAAAACTTCTGCCTCCATCTTTCATTAAACTTACTATGTGCATGTCTGAAACCCTGTGCTACTCGTGGCCTCCAAACGGTGGGCTACCATGTGTATTTAATGATGATATAAGATCACTGATACTTTTCCCCACAGTGTGATATACAGGCTGAAGTATTTTTTTTGCTAAAATACACAGTTTCTGCCATGGGAAAGACTATTTTTGTGAGTGCTATTATGTGCTTTGAATGAGATTGCGGCAAAGGGAGATATTAGCTAATTACTCCAGGGTCTGTCTTCCTTTGGTGGGTAGGAAAGCCACATAGCTGACATCCATACACATGGCCAGAAAGCAGTAAGGGAGCAGTCTTGTCACCCCACACCTGCACATCTTGAGCTACCCCACTGATTTCAAATGACTTGTAACTCATGAGTGCATTTGGATCCACGCCGCTTTTCTCTGAGGGATCCTGTGCTGTGCTTGATGCCATAAATAGCATTTGAGTGCCATGAAGTGAGATGACTCCCATCTGTCAGTCTGGGAATGCTAGCCAGCTGCCTAAGGAAATCTGGGGACATAAAAGTGATTTAAAGAAAAATCTGTGGGTGAATTAGTCATACTTGTTTCTAGTGAGTGTTTATCCTGTAACCATAGCTCTATCAAACAAATGCCATGAAGTGTTCAAAGGGCGGTGAAGGCTCACATCATTGCTGTAGAAGTCAGTGCCTGTATGGAGTAGGAGGGGGAACCGGTTATGTTAATTAGAGCTGGAAACCATGGACCCAGCATGTTAAGAAGGGCCCCGTTTCATCCTGTGCCATTGGACGTTAGCCCCATATTAAAGCCATGCCCAGTCTCTACAGCTGGCTGAAACATTTCAAAACGCACATTTTGGTGTCATCTTTTAGCCCTGGATATTTCGGACACCTCTGTGAAAGTTAGTCCTTTCTTACACCTGCCCTAGTGAGGCCCCTTTGTACTTTCTCCTTGCTTTGGTCAAGCATCTTCTCTGAGGAGAAATAAGCCCTGGATGTTGTTATCTCAGCCCCAAGGCTGCTAATTCCCAGTCTGCTGAACTGGTGATGGGGCTTAGAAATTTCCCCATTTTTGTTAGTGCTGCCCGTGATTCAGAAGAGTCTTACCTCATGCCTTGTTTAACTTGGCTTTGGCCTCTTTCTTACTAAATTGTAACCAGTGTTTCTAACATTCGACTAATACTGCTGGAAGCCTCCAGTTTACAGCAAACCCAGAACATCTGGGTGATATCTCACACTTCTGACACTAAAGAAGTCTCTGGCAATTAGCTGTCACTGCCTGTGGACAGTCTTGTGTATTAACAGTGGTCATCTTCCCACCTTTATAGTGGGGATTTCTTGTCCAGAAAGTCCAAAGTTGTTCGTCAAAGACAGCTGTGAACCCCAGTCTTAGATGAAGGAGCAGACATGCTCCAGAGCACTTGCAATAATGACAAATCTCTTCTGTTTTTGGGTTGCCCTTATCTAAGGAAAGCCAAACTTTCAGATGTCATTGAAGACTGTTCATCTTTCTGCCCTCATCTTCACTGTTCCATAGAAATCAGCCCTGCTTTCAGGAATTGCAAGGAATCTGTAGTCTTGCATGACAAGGTAGGTCCCATGGCTTACCGTAGGCTGGGAGGAGCTCTTGGGTGCGTGGCTCCTTGAGCTAATAGCTCTGGCAGTGTTTCTGAGCTCTTATGTTCCTGGCATGTCAACTCCAAAATGTCCTGAATGTCAGCCTGAAGCCATATCGGATGGGGCCAGGGTCCCTCATGACATGTGGAGGACACTCACCTGCTTTCGTGGTCGCAGTCGCATGCTCCTCAGCTGACACCACATGCAAAGGCCACTACTGCAGTAGCTGCTCACTCCAAGCTGCCCCGTCACATCCCACCTGCATGCCTGAGCACCTCTGATTTTTGCTTCTGCTCCTTTGCATGCAGGAAATAAGGCACATAGGAAGTGCACACAACCGGAGTGCAGTGCCCTTCACTGCTGCCACAGCTTCTGCCCCCAGAGTGATCACTGCTCAGTACAACAGCCCAGCAGGCCTCTACTCCTCAGAGAACATCCAGACCTTCAACAGTGCAGTGGAGTCAAAGACATCACCTGGGGCTGTGGAGCCTACCAAGCTGTAAGTATCTTCCTTGCCTCCTCTCCCTGCCTGGGCCCCGGGGGAAGGCTCCAGGAGATATGAGTTTGCTGCGAGGGTGCCAATTTGTTAACTCAGAAAAGCTCTCTTTCAGGACAAGGGAAGGAGCAGAGGCACAAGAGTAGATGTGGTTCCCAGGGCCAAGGCTCGGAAGAGTGGGGAACATTTCATGAGATGCAGAAATGAAATTAATGCTGTTGTGTTTCTTTGTTTAGCAGAGACCGACGCAGTTTCCGTGTGCGTTCAGCATGACATACCAGCCCGCTGGTCTGAACAGGTGCCTGATAGTTTGTTACGAGCACTTTGTAAAGTTAGTGTTTTGCACTGGCTTTGAGGGCAATGCTGGGCAGGAAGGGTACCAGCTAGCGCAGGAAGCACATGTGTCCCTGTTCCTGGCTGGCCTGGGATTCATAGACAGGCTCTGCCTAAGTTTGGATCTTTCTATTTTTTTATTATTGAACCTTGTTTTTCACAGCAGTTTTAAAAAGTAGCTGAAATATTCATAGCTGTGTGAGCAATTTTAGATATGGGATTGATTTTTGTGGCTGCATCTGAGCCTCTGATTACTTTATCCTGGAAGTCCAAAGTTCCTCTTTTTTCACTGGAAGCAATAAACAAGGAGCAGTCTGAAATCTTTCTGGCTGTGTGGGTCAAGTTGCTTAACTGCCCTAAGTCTCTGTATAGCAGTACCAGACTGCCTGGTAGACTTTGGCCACTTTTACAACAAAAGCTGTAAGACCAGTGCTTTAGGTGATACTTGACTAAACTCCTGACTTGTGAGTGGAAAGATAAAAGTAACTTCACCCTCTGCTCTTGCAGGCACAAAGACCTGAGATTGTGGTTTGATACAAGCCTGAAAACTTGCCCCTGACTCAAACCAGCTTCTCAGCCTGCCTGCAGCACGTGCCCTTCTAGGCAGAGTTACGGTGCTGCAGCTGGCAGACAAGGTGACAGATGTTTGCTCCTAATTTGCTTCTGGTAGACCTCAGCAGCCTCATTCAGGGGCTGAGCAAAGGCAGAGGAAGGACAAGGGAAATCTGACTTTGCATTAACCTGATGGGACTATTTGGCAGTCAAATACCACCTCTGGTCTAGTCTGGAGTCCCCTCCAGGTAAGAGCACTCCTTGGAAGCCAGGTATATTTGGCCGTAAACTTGTGGGTGATCCCTTTTTCTTGCAGGGGCCAGCAAAGAGGTCCTGTGGCTCACTGTGGTCCTCCTAGCAGGAAGGTCCATTGCTGGCCCAGCTGCAGTGGGGGTACATGGCATCTCTTTCATCTTTCCCTTGCTGAAACACAGCAAGTTGCAAAGGAGTGCTGGAGGGACTGTGGATGAGCCCTTCGATGCCAATACACTTTTTTTTTACAGAGTCATCAAAGCAAGTGAATTGCTGCTGGTTTTTAGTGAGAGCCAGGGGCCTCACCCTGCCACCAAAACCCCACTGCAGTCTCCCCAGTGCACAAGCACAGGATGTATAGGTTCTCCCTTCACACAGCCTTCCAGCTGCCTTTAAATTCCTGCCTGTTTTGCTCAGTTATTTGTACGTGGTTGACCTTGCTCTGGGTTTACCTGGCATTTATCTACGCCTCCATCCTGCACCTAACAGACACACAGCCAATCTGAACCTGGCAGCCTGATCCTGCCACTACACATGGTGACATGACACAGGGACCTGGTCCATGCTCCATCCTTAGAAGGGTGTGTGATGTAAATGCAGGGCTGTGGCACAGGCAGAAACACCAGCAAACATCTTCACTGGATTTGGTGTTGTAGAGCAAGTGGGGAGGGCAGGGAGAAGTCCTGCGGCTGAGCACATGTGTTTTGGGATCAGAGGTGAGATTGCCCCTCAGTAGGGCACCCAGGCTAGCTTTGGGAAGGGCAGCAGTGAAGGTGGCATTCCTTGGTGGGACAGTGGGACCACGAGTGTGTGCTCAGGTAGCTAGTTCATAGTAAAACCCCTGCTGACATGTCTTCGTTGCTTTTACAACCCCTGCGTCTGCTCATCAGTAGGGCAACTGCATTTTAGTTTTTGTGTGGACACACCTGGTGTGCAAGACCAGAGCCACAGCATTAGCCAGAAGCCTTTAATGTAGTCATGTAGTCAGTGGTGCATCCCTCAGACAGTGTTCTGCAACTGCTTGTATTGCTTGGAGTATTTGGTGTAGTCCTTCATTAATTTCTTCCTTCTTTCCTTTCTCTCTCCTCTGCATTTTTCCCTCAATTCCACAATGTAAAACCCAAATGAACCCCCAAACAAAAACCATCTGAATGCGTGGGCCCATAGCTGCCCATTGCCAGCAAGCGCAATGCAGGCTCCCTTTGCCTCCATCTATAACCCTCTGCAGGCACAGACCTCCGAGCCACTGCAGAGGAGGCACAGCACCTCCTCCTCCCCCAGCCAGCTCCGAGTGGGGCCTGAGCAGCTGAAGCGTGCAGCCCAGGTCTGCCCCAACAGCCCCGTGGAAGTGGACGTGCCGGGACTGAAAGTTGTGCATGTGCAGTTCAATTCTCCCCTGCAGCTCTATTCGCAGAGCAACATCATGGATTCCCTGCAGGGGCAGATCTCTTCTGTTAGCCCCGACTTCCCCAGGTAACCTGCCTGCTGCCTCTGCGGCCAGCTTGGCGCATCCACTCATCCACATCTCAGTGTCCATGAGTGCCTCATCCCTGTCTGTGGCTCACAGTGCTGGCCAGTCACAAGAAATCAGCATTTACATGTCACCTTTCCAACATTAGTGCATGACTTTTCACAGGAGCTTTCTCTGCGTTGTGTCTGTGCCCAACACTGCGGGAAGCACCGAAACATCATTTCAGCCTGTCAGGGTGTCCTTTGTGCCCTGCGCAGCAGGGCCTTGACAGCAGCTGGTGGCTTTCCTGGAGAGCCACGTGCAGCAGATGGATTTGCTGGGGGCAGGAGAGCGTTTTATCCTGAAAGCTGGTGTTTCTCCTGCACTAAAACAACTGTTGTTGGCAACTGGAAGGTGCTATCACACGTGTCCTTGTGCTTTTGTTTCGCTGGCTGCATGCTGGGCCATGGGCCTGCTCTGGGCTTATTTTGTTTCAGGCTAAAGCAGGTCCCCATGGGTCTCCATCTTTGGCTGATAACACTCATGAGTTTGGAGCAGCCTGGGCAGGCACCAGGCACACAGAGGACCCAATCTGTGTTCCCACCTGTGCGCACTTTCTGCACAGGATGCTACTCTTGGGGGTGCCTCTTTGCCGGTAGGAGTGGAGGATGCTCAACATGCTCCGAGGTCTGCAGGACCTGCAGAGAGCATCAGCATCACAAGGCCTGAGTGCTTCTTGGTATTTGCTCTTTAACCAGCTGGCCTGTGCCTCTGAATGACACCCATCAGGATTTTACAGGGAGGACTTCAGTATCGAGATGGGTGAAGCAGAAAACATGTTTAGCCATCTTGCAGGAAAGCTCCAATCAAGGCTGAATTGTTTCAGAAGACGTGAACCTTCAGCAGAGTTACCCCTCTGTGTGACCAAGGAGCTTGCAGCTGTGTGACCTGTGGTCTAGGGAGGTGGTTTGTCCCATGGCCTCTGTGGGACAGAGCAAAAGAGCAGAGGCAGATCTTACAGCTCCTTGGCTGTTCACAGTCCCTTTCTGGGCTGGGCACCACATGCTTCAAAGCAGAAAGTTTGGCATCCTCACCCACGGACCCACACAGCCAAGCTTTGCATTGTGCAAGCAGCCAAGAGATAATGGGAGGCTGTGGATTTACTCCTGCCTTGTTACTCAGTCCAGTTACTTGCTGTAAGTCACTGCTCTGGCTTGTGCGCGCCGGGAGCGGTCACACTCTGGTGGCTGGCTGTGCTGGTCTGGACAGCTGATAACACAAAGAGGCCTCAGGCATCAGCAATTGTTTCATTGCAAAAGCAACTGCTCCAAGTACTGGGCCTTCCTGTAGCCCAGCTTTGAGATCCTTGTAAACTTCAGAAAATGTGCTAGCATAAAATAGTAAAATTACGTTAGTAAAGAATAAGCTGTGCTTTTCTGAAGATGTACAAGGTTTTATGGTTTATGTCTTTATGGTTTTTATTACCATCTTGCCGACTTCCAAAGCTCAGTGATCCAGTGTTACTCAGTCAGCGTTGCAAGTTGCCGCTGGCAGAAGCAGTGAGATCCAGTAACGGTTGTGTGAGACTGAAATCCAGTAAAGGTTGTTGGAGTTGTCTCCTACAAAGTATCTGTATTGGCAAACTCCTGCACATGGAAAAGGACACCAGTTGCTGGTGAATGCTGCAGATAAAGTACTGGTATAACAGGAGGTGCCGTAAATCAGCCAACATACAAAGGCTCGTTATCCTGCAGGCACAATTCCTGTGCCTGTGGCCTTGCCCATTCAAAAGATGCATATGCTTTTTGGTGTGGCTTGTTTTTGTATTATTCTTTAAGCAGCACAGTGTTCTGCCCTGACAAGTTGAGGTATTTCACTCTGCTGGTACAAATTGTAGGATTTGGGATTTTTCATAGTCTTTTTGAAATCTATATGCAAGAATATCTATAGGGTGCATACCTGGGAGAGCTCATCTGTATGTTTGGCGCACCATCACAATGCATGGTTGAAGTGTGATGCCTTTGTTTGGCTCTAGTACACTTCAAGATGATTTAGCCTTCGCTTTTTGAATGCATGTTAGTAAAACCTTTGTAGTATGCAAACTGCAATGACAGGCTTCCTGCCTAATACTGTTATGGGTGGATAGAGAGGTGGGAGTATATGAGTTTACATAAGATGAATGTAATGTGGAGCGTGGATTCTTTTGGGATAACCTAGGACATTTTCTGTGTAATAGAAGACATGTCATTATTTTTTTTTGGTTGAGAGGCTTCAGTAAATGTTATGCAGGCTTCAAGGGTTCAACTGCTTGCAAGTCTAATGTGCTTCCTGCTCCACTGAAAATTACTAAAGATGGAAATATTTTATTAAATTCTTTTTATGGAAATAGCATTTTATAACACATGTGATGATTTTACCTCTGATGCTTGAAGAGTTTATTATGTAGAGTAACTCCCAGATGGCTCAATTGCACATTGTCATGGAAAGTATGCAGTTGCCTACTTAAGAAAAAGATTTCCCTCTGCAATTTAGTCTGAACTTCAGGATGTTTATGTACTTCTCAGACAATCACAAGGTGCAGGGACAGTGAAACCTAGTAGACCTTTTACATTTATAAGGCTGCATTATGTAATTCAGCTGTCAGGGGAGACTTGTCAGTTGTCTCATTTTTCCAGAGATGTGTTATTCCAGCCACAGAATACAAGACAGGCAGGAAAGTCCTGTGTCATTTAGTCCATCCCCTAGCCCAGCATTTGGTCAATTTAAACCATTGATTTAAGTAGTTCCCAGCAGGTATCTGTCCAGACCCTTTTTAAATCCTTTAGTATGGAGGTTGCTAAACTGTCCATGGCAATCTCTGCTGGTATCTTGCTGTCTATCTGTTGGAAAGCTTTTCCCAAGGGATAGTCTGAATATTCTCCTGCAGTTTAAAGCCTGTAATGTATTCTGTACAAACTGGATGTGGAGAACATCATCGGTACTGCCTCCAGCCTCTATTTTTTTTCCCTAAAGACCCTTCTGGTGGCACAATGACCACGCTTTCAGCCACCCCACACTGTGAAAAGCTGCCCCTGAAGCACCTCGGGCTCTAGGCTGCGGGTGCAAGTCCCTCAGGACATGAGTGGCAGCAGCAGCGCCTCAGGAGGCAGCTGGAAAGAGGCCTCAGTCTGAGCAGACAGAAGTTTCTTCTGCCCTTGACCTGCTTGTTAAGTTAACCTTAGTTAAATGCTGTAAGTGGGCTGTGGCTCAGAGTCTCCACCTATAAAATGGAAATAATAACACTCACTTGAAAACCAAATTAAATTATTGCCAATCAGAGAATCTTAGTTAGATCCTACAGCTGTTACTTTGTGAAGGTGGCCTTTAGGATCAATTCATAGTGTACTTGCAAAGATTTCTTTTTAATGGAATAAACTTTACATACATAGATGGCACAGCTGCCATGGGGATTCCCATCCCAGCACATGAGTTCTTTTATTTTCCTATTAACAGAGCAGTGATTTCCTGAGCAGAAAGTTTTCGTTTCTGGAGTATGTAGTAATTGCGAAGCAGGCAGAACGCTCGGGGGCTGGCTGGGGGCAGTCAGCAAGAGCCCATTGGGAGTGGCATACCTGGATAGCCCAGCGTGCTAATCCCACCTGGGCTGCAGGTGTCTTGTGCGAGCACATCCAACATCTCCGTGTTTTATGGCATCCTGTTGTGCATTTGTTTTGCACATTCATTCTTTAGTCATAGGATGCGTTGTGAAAATTTTGCTAGAGGTACTGGCTTTACTTTTCAGCTTAACAAGAGTATTGTCTGTTCCTTCCTCAGTTTAGATCAGCATAACCAGCCCCCTAGTGGCATTGTCATAGACAGAGAATCTGAGGTGTACAAGATGCTCCAGGAGAATCAAGAGTCAAATGAGCCACCCAGGCAGTCTGCTTCATTCCTTGTGTTGCAAGAGATTTTGGAGTCAGAAGAGAAAGGTGAGCACTGACTGCACACTTAATTTGAGTGTGCTCTTCCCTTTTGCCTTTTTTTTCCTTGGGCTGTGTACAGTGTTTAAGAGTAACATCTAAAACTTTATTTTCCTTTCTTAGCTGTTGGTTGTTCAAAAAGTAGCGTGTGTAGGTGGTTTCTACAGAAACCTACAGACCATTTCACTAACTTAATTCCTAAATATTTTCTCATTGGTTAGTTTCAGTGTCTGTGGGCCCATATCATTGGTTATTCATTGAGTGCTCAAGAAATGAATGCCTACAACATTTAGTTATCAAGAAGGAATTTTAAAAGTTGCAAAAACTCTTCTACACGTTCTAAAGTTTTTCCCCTTTAAGATAATATTCACTGATTAAAGACCATCTTAGATTCCAGACTTTTTGAAAGGTATGACAATATAGTGCTCTTCAGTGAGTCCTAAAGCTTGTGATCTCCATCCCTCTACACAAGAAAAAGGATCCACTACTGCAGATGAATGTAAAAATATGGAAGCTGGGTTACAGTGAACATTTCACAGCTTTTAACCACTGGAAGTTGCTGTACT